TCTCACTTTTTATTATTTGTCACTTATTACATGTTAAGCATGCTTCTATTAGTCATTTAATGTTAAATAATAACTAATTATTATATAATCAAATAGTTATATCAATTATAATTTATTATTTACTATATATTTCTCACTTTTTATTATTTGTCACTTATTACATGTTTACCTTTTATCTACTATTCACTATCCGTTATATGTTAAATTTTAACAATTATACTAAACAAATCTTAAATCAAGCAAAAAAAATATAATGTGGAAATCAATGAGTGAGAAGAGATAGAGGTCTCAACTCATGACGCCTACGTCTTCTCTCAGGATTTTTTATTTTATTTTATTTTGATTAAGAGTTGTATTCGCCGCTTTCAAACTCCTTTTGGCTTTGGGATGACCAATACAACCTTCTCCTTAAGAACCCTCAACCAACTTGAAGAACTATACTCCAAGTTTAAGAAGTCCATCAAGGACTAAATCTCAACTCCAAAATGCTTAGGGAACCATTTCACATTTTTAGATAAAAAGATAAAATTAATTTCTCATTATTTATAATTCTTTTGAAGTTGTGTATTAAATAATGACTATTCAATTTTGTATTTGTATATATTAAAAAAATTAAAAAATATATAGATTAGTGTTCCATAATCAATAACTACTATAAATCCATTCTAAATTTTGGTCTAAAAAATTGGCTTTAACCATGATTATTTTTTTATATCACTGATGTTACTCATATTTGAGATTTTATGTGAATAGTGGTCTTTTATGTTTTTGCGTTGCATGGGGTTATAGTTATTGCTAGTCAATAAAAAAGTTAAAAGTTTTTAAACTAAAAAGATAAATTAAATAATTAATTAAGTCACAATAATTCTCAAATTTAGACATTTATGCTTTGTTTGATAATACTTCGCACATTCTATTTTCACGTAGCACTTTATTTAAAAATGTAAACTTTTAATTCTTAAATGTTAATTAATTTTAATTATTTTTTTATATACTCTTATTAACTTTTAATTAATATTTTATATGTTTCTACGATAATCAAAGTTAAAAAAAGAAAAAACCTATACTATAGCCGTAATATAATATAGTACAAACAAATAGAACCTTCGTTATCCCTAGTAAATTCTAATAAACCTTGACAATTTAAATTAATCAAATACAAATTAAAGTTTTTTTTCTCTTAAATTACATAATGAGAGGCAATTTTCTTTTATCAGTGAACTCACTTTACTTGTATGTCATGTGATTGAATTCAACACCTCTTACTTTAACTAAAAGGAAATTATCATTAAATTATTTGATTAAAATTCTATTACGTGCTTGTTTGCTGCAACGGTTAAGTGGTAATGGTTAATAATTTTGCTCAAATGGTTATAAAATAGGTGTTTGATAAATTTGTTTATTTTAAAATTATTACAAATTAAGTGTTTGGTAAAATTTTTTATTTAATGGTTTGGGATTCACAAATACCAGTTAAACTCTAATTTGTTAACAGATTAAAAAAGTTACTTTAGATAGTTTTTTACTAAACTGTTAATAGATTGAAATTTTTTAATTTTATTAATAAATTTCTCCTTTTTAATTTTTTAATTATTTTGTCATAATTTTTAATTAATATTTATTTAATTAGTTTTAACTCCATTTTTTCTC